AGACGGGGTTTCACCATGTTGGCCATGATGGTCTCGATCTCTTGACCTTGTGATCCACCCTCCTCAGCCTCCCAAAGTGCGGGGATTAGAGGCACCAGCCACCGCGCCTGGCCAGGGAAGCCTAGCTTTTCTTAGGAGTGCGAGAAATAACACAACCCAAGCTCCTGCTGTACACCAGCCTTGTGCTGAGTTACGTGCATCGTCTCCTTAAATCCTTACTGGCCCCACAGAGGCCCATTTTACAGATCATGCAAACTAAGGCTCAGAGACGTAAATTTTCTAGTGGTCCCTACAGCCTTGACAAGAGACTCAAACCTTAGTCCATCAGGCTCACTAACCTTGCCCCTAACCTCCGCACTGGTCTGTTCCCAGGCTCCTGGGACCATGGGCCTCAGGCCCTGAGGATACAAGGCTCCCTGTGGCCATGACGACGGGTGACTGCTGCCACCTCCCTGGCTCCCTGTGTGACTGCTCTGGCAGCCCTGCCTTCTCCAAGGTCGTGGAGGCTACGGGCCTCGGACCGCCCCAGTATGTGGCACAGGTGACTTCGAGGGATGGCCGGCTCCTCTCCACCGTCATCCGTGCCTTGGACACACCGAGGTGAGTGGCGACCGCGTGGATGTCCTGGCCTTTGCTGCCTCTTCTCTCTGGGCCCAGTGACCTTCTCCCAGCCTGCGGTCAGAAGTCCAACCGTCGACAGAGGGCCAAGTGGGTAAACAGAGAAAGAGACACGAACAGTTATTGCCTTGTGGAAACAGAGGCCTAGCTTTGGCCAGGTCTGATTCTTTAGGAAAAGCTGAAATTCCAGATTATTATGTGAAATCTGAAGGTCAAATGTTGGCAAGTAACACACTTTTGGGAGGCAGTATAGGGGGTGGTCAGGAGTGTAGGCTGTGGGCTCAGTGCCTAGGCCCTGACACTGAGTGGACACCTCCCTCTCTCCCAGAGTGACCTGGGACAAGTTAGTTCACCACTGTATCTCTCTCTTTTTTTTTCGAAATAGAGTCTCATTTTGTTGCCCAGGCTGGAATGCAGTGGCGCAATCTTAGCTCACTGCAACCTCTGCCTCCCAGGTTCAAGCCATTCTCCTGCCTCAGCCACCTGAGTAGCTGGGATTACAGGCACCCACCACCACGCCTGGCTAATTTTTGTACTTCTAGCAGAGATGGGGTTTCACCATGTTGGCCAGGCTGATCGCAAACTCCTGACCTCAGGTGATCTGCCCGCCTCAGCCTCCCAAAGTGCTGGGATTACAGGTATGAGCCACTGTGCCCAACTTCTTTTAAAAAAATTTTTTTTTTTTTTTTTT